AAGAAAATTGACACTCCTGGCACAACGTCGGTGTGAATCCGACTAGGTCTGCAGCAAGGTAAGGCGGTCGACTTCACCACCTACTCAGCACGTCCCGAAAAAAGTTCACCCCCAACAGGATTCGATCCCCGGGCCAACGGTCTCGGGACCCCACCCCAGCGCCCTCGCCAATCGGCTGTCGCCTGCTTCTGTGGACAAAGACGTCAGAACTCGGTCCCGCGCTTCACGGGTCTCGGTCTCCCGTATTGCACGCGTGCAGGTCGGCTTAAGTCCACCTCCTCGACGCGCTGCAGCCCGGGTCGGATTCTGGCCAAAAACACGGAACAAGGAACAAAAATGAACCTAACCTAACCCCCGGGAGCCCAAGGGGCTCTTTTAGAGGCCATTTTCCGTGTCTCGGGCCAAGAGCCGACCCGGGCTGCAGCGCGTCGAGGAGGTGGACTTGACCCGACCTGAACGCGTGCAATCCGGGAGACCATGACTCGTAAAGCACGTGACCGAGGTTTGAACTTTTCACTGGCAAGTGGAGCCGACAGTCGAGTGGCAAGCGCGCTTGGGCTTGGTGCACAAGACACCCTCAGCCCAGGGATCGAGTCCTGGTCGGGGCGAACATTTTCTTGTTGCTTTTTTGGCAGGGGGAGGGGAGGGGGCTGCTGAGTAGGCGGTCAAGTCCACTTCCCCATGTCGGCTGGTCTTTTGTCTTAACCCTTTGCCCCACCGCCGCAAACTGCTAAATAGGAAAAAAACTGAACCTCGGACAGTATTCGAACCGACAACCATCCGCGTCCCGAGCGCGCGCTCTATCAACTGAGCCAATGATGGGGGTTATGCATATGTGAAGCTTATCTCCGCTGTGCCTCTCACCCCGAAACATATGGCTGGCAGAAGGAAAAGGGTTCCGGCGACTAGATTCGAACCAGCGACTGTTTGCGTACCGGCCCATCATATCAGGTGTTGCACGGCTGTAAAGTCATGGCTAGCGGAGCGCGAAAAGTATCACTCGGCCGAGATTCGAACCAGTGACCAGGTTCGTACCGGGCCCGGACGCTACCGACTTGGCCACGACGGAACGATACAGAGAACCACTTTCAGAGGCATCTTGATCTAGGCTGTGACCGACGCCCGAAGACCCTTGGCCAGCAGAGCAGGGAAAAATGACCGCAGATGGGATCCGAACTAGCGACCACGCGCACGATCTGCCAACGATCACGCTTTGACACGTTCGGCTACCAGCTTGCTCCTACGGGGCTGAGGACTAAGCTCGGTCATTCCTAACGGGAGACAAAAAGCGACAAAGAAAAAATTTGCCCCGCCCGGGAGTTGATCTGAGGGCCGACAATTTTGGTTCGGATTAAGCTGTATGCGGTCGCCGCGACATGAGTTGTCGCTTGGACGCCTGCGAGGTAGGCCACGGCTTCTCTCTAAGGCGTCTGTCGTGACGGGGAATTTGGGTTTAGGCTCCTTTTGACTCCAGGCTCATAAACTCTTTTTCAAGCTAAGAAGTGACGCCGTGTCAATCTAGGCGTGGGTCGATGATTGTCGCTGAAAACGCCTGGAGGGTAGGCAATGCTTTCCTGAATCGGGCCCCGCGGCCCCCTGTCCCTCCGAGCGCTTGGACAATAAGGCGAGAGCTTCGGAGAGGCATTGATATCTTTCGTTTTCGCTTTAGTTCTTAGCGCAATTTACTTCTGGTTGATATTCTAGCATTGGCGGAAGTAATGAATTCGTCTA